ATCATTATTATTATTACTATTATTATTATTAGCATTATTATCATTATCTGTTAAATATAGCTTATTATCATTTATTAAAGATTATTTGTTTTTATTAACTATTAGTTCGTTTATTTATTCATTCATCTATTGATTTAATCATTTGGTAATCTTTTAGAAGAGAGGGTTTAATTGCATGTATGTCACCGCATTATGCTCACATTCCTTTCTGCATGGGCTTGAGTTTGTTTCTCAGAGCCTTGAAATCCGGTCTCCTCATTGGCTCCTCATCCCAACATTCCTTGATTACGTCAGTGATGAACTTGGGCGTGGAGCTTATCTCTGACAGCCGAGGACGGAAAGGATGCCCCTTCTCGTCTCTCGTTATGACGCGCTCAACAATTTCTGAGGAATGGCAGCGGGGGGAGTGAGGAGAACAATAAGGAAAACATCTAAACTGTCATCACTTTAAGACGGCATTATGGAATAAAATGAAAGAAAAATCAGCTTTGGTTTAGACATATAGTTGGATCTGCAACACAGGAGGTACAGATCCAGGGACACAATGACACCATCTTCCAGTCTAGCTAAATCATTCCACTGATCGTATGTTGGGACACAAAGCAGTAATTGGAAGAACACAGATATGAATCTGGAATAGTTGGTTCCAAAGGGGTTCGTAATTGATATTAAGAGCCTTTAGAATTCTCTGATTTGACAGGTGTGTTAAGTGGTTTCAGGATGCTTTACTGCACTCCAACAAGAGGAGTAAAATTATTAATTGATTTTAAATCTTCTGCGTGCCGACAGACACAGTTAAGATCTTTTTAAGATTTAAGTCAGTCGAGTGGGATATATCGTCATCATTATCATCATCATCATCATCATCACCATCATCATCATCATCATCATCATCATCATCATCATCATCATCATCATCATCAATGTAAGTAGCAGGGAATAAAAATATGGTTTGAGACTCAGTAGATTGTTTCAGATTTAATAGAGGGTTGAACGTTTCACCCTGTAAAGGGCTTCGTCAGGAACACGATACAAAAAAAATAATTAATGCACCAAATGTGCGCGCATGCACGTCTTAATGTCAAAAGGTGCGATAAAAACAAATCGGGAACCCCAGAGAAAATTGAAGGCAATGCCAAGAAGTGGTATGGATATAAAATAGTATGTACGTCAAATCATATAAAAACCATTAATATTAATGTTAAGGTAATTAATAGTAGTAGTAGTAGTAGTAGTAGTAGTAGTAGTAGTAGTTGTAGTAGTAGTAGTAGTAGTAGTAGTAGTAGTAGTAGTAGTTGTTGTTGTTGTTGTTGTTGTTGTTGTAGTAGTAGTTGTAGTAGTAGTAGTAGTAGTAGTAGTAGTAGTAGTAGTAGTAGTAGTAGTAGT